TAGGATGAAATTAATTTAGTATTTTATTATGCCCAAGTATCACATATGCTGTGCCTGAATTGCAATTTGCCAAAATATATGCATTTAATCAATGTGCATAACACTGAAATAGTAAGATAGGATTGGCTTCTTTGATTTAGGTTCTTACAGAATTTCAGGATGATTATGAATTATAATCTGAAAATTTGAAAAAACTCACATGAACTTGCTTACCTAGTAGACATCTGTCATTTGTATGGAAAGGTTTGAAAGTTTTTTGAGTTTTTGATTTGAGATGAATCAATGTTTATTGAAATTAGAATCATTTTGTTAATCACTCGCAAAGTGAGCATCTGTTCTATATGAGATATTGTGTTGGGCAGTAAATAAAGGATGTTACACAAGAAGGAATTCAAGAGGAGTTTGGCAGGGTACAACTTTGGCCACACTGTAAGATGGAATGTTGAACCAAATGAGCAGTAGAGACAGGGAGTGGTGGAGGAACTCAGAAGAAGGAGCAGGGCGAAATCACTGGAAGGGTAGGGACACAGATTCAGGGGCAGTTTGGTGGCAGCTCTGTATATAGCTGCATCCCAGCTTGTTTCATAAACTAGTAGGAAGGAATAACTTGATTCCCCTTATAAGCATAGAGAGCTTGGCCATGTCTTGTCAACATATTACTGATTTTCCCTTTAATTTTTGGTTGTTATTGTTTGCCTATTAATTACAGTCATGTCATTCCTTCTCGAAATCACAGTGTGGTACTAAACCTTGTGTCTAAGGCATTCCTTACCTTTTGGTGCCATCCACTGCAGAGTGTGTTTGAAGAAACTTCAAATTGGAGAAAGGCATAGGCACTATTTATGTAAAAGCAAAGATTTTTTTTTTGGGGGGGGACAACCTCAAATCCACTTATTGAGTATGAGACTATTACATTTTTATTATTCACATCAGGAAAACATCAGTGCACACTTTCAACATTTTTGCTTTAAAAATCTCATCAGCTAAATGTCTTATAAAATGTTTTCAGGTTCTGGTTTTCGCTTAACGGCAGGGCACAATCTGCTAAACTGTCCATCACTATATAATTAGGATTCTATTTCCTACTATTTCCGATAAGGAATTCCTCATTTCCTATTCAGCCCTCATCAGCAGTATCTTTAACAAACATATTCCTATCAGCAGATGATTTGAGTATTGTGTTTAGTGAAGTATGTTCTGAACCATGATCCTCATTTCCTACTGAAGAGTCTCTAGCAGAATT